CGGGGCGCGCCTGCCGCCCTCTCGATCTCGACAGCGGGCGCTACGAGGCAGCAGCCACGCAGAGAAGATTTACCCCCTGCTGTGGCAGGAGCGAGCGTCATCGGGCTGTTAGGGGGTGGCAAAGGGGGACAAGGGAGCCCCAGGCTGCTTGACAGTAAGAGGATCAGGAGTGCTGTGCAGCAGGGATTTTTTTTCCCCTGGGGGTTGTTCCACTTTTGAGTCACGTCTCTCCCTGTGCTCGTCTCTGTGGCGTGTCTCCCACCGCGTTTCCAGCCATGAGTGCCGTGGTCTGAATGTTTGTCTCCTTGCAGGCCTGGGGCAGCCAGGGGCCTGGTCTCCTCGGGGAAGTGCTGTGGTCAGTACCAGCAAAGGGCCATGCCTTTTTCTGACATAACCGTCACTCTAATACTCGGCCTGGAAGTTGGGGAGATCTCCCTCCTCCTTCCCAACCAGAACTAATTGCATCTAACTTTCTAACTAAGTCAAGAAGTGCTTAGTTGTTCCTCTCTTCTCCCTTTACCTTCCCCTGTCTCTGCTGCAATCCAGGGACACCAAAATCTCAGATAGTTGTCGAAAATTTTCCTGTATGTCAATCTTTTCCTTTCCCTGATCAGCTAGGCCCATCGATCAGGCCTGATCCACTCTGCAAGTGTTGCTGAGTGTTTCAGCTCTCTGCCACTGGCTGAGGATAGTTGGTCGATCTCTGCTCATGCAACTTCACTGTGTTATTTGGGAGCTTCTTGCTTATTCCGTACGGTCTCAGCTTGTTCTCGCAAGAGCTATAAGATCTGATCTTCTCTTCTTGCTTGCAGATGAAACATTGCTAATCAATGTGATCTGTGGAGTGGTTTCAGGGGTGATCTCCTCTGCGCTTGCCAATCCAACTGATGTGCTAAAGGTAAGACATGGACGTGGTCAGAGACGGCTGTCTGGGGGCTGTGATTTGCCATATTGAACCTACTGGTTTCCGACGAAGGTCCATCTCTTCCAGCTGCAGTGAGATGCTCTTCAAGCCACTCCTGCCTTAGTTCTGTCAATCTAAGATGCTTATGAATGTGAATGGAGGTCCAGAGCAGGAACCGTTTAAAAAAATGCAACTCGTAAAGATTAGGAAATGTTTTATGGTATGGGTTGGAGGTTGTATTATCTCAAAAATAAGTAGAGAGGGTGGTGCGGTAGCTGGGCACTCTGTGGACCTCAGCTCCTATCCCTGCAGCCACCACGCTTAGCTCGACTGATGCCGTTCATACAGTTATGTGGAGTGGCCAAGACTCAGTGGGAGCTGCTGGATCCCCTCTATTCCTGACAGGCACAAGAAAACGTTTTGAACAGAGAGACTCTGGAGAGCTTTCCTCTACTTTTCCTTGTGTAGATCTGCTTTTCTGGATCACGTTCAGAGCAGGAAGGTCTTGCCTGTCACTCCTCTGTGTTGTCTGAATTTTGCATTGCGCTTCCACCCTGCCACAGTCCCTGCTGCTCTCGCCTGCTGCTCGGTTTCCAGTGGAAGGGCACGTGGGGAGCATTTCTGCTCCAAGCTGCTGCGTTCAACCAGGAGGTTCACTGAGCTGGTAGCTCTGCAGGCCCTGCTTCCACCCTGCTGACTCTCGCGTTTGTTTCAGATTCGAATGCAGGCTCAAGGCAGTTTATTCCAGAGTGGCATGATCGGCAGCTTCATTGATATCTACCAGCAGGAGGGTACCCGAGGCCTCTGGAGGGTGAGTTGCTGGAAACCATTCTAGTAGCAGAAATAACAGCTTTCTCAGCTTATTTGTGCTCCCTATGTACTATCTCTGGGCCCTAATGCAGAGTTTGCAGAGAACTGTAGCCCCGAAGTGGTAACTTCTGGTTCTGATATAAAGTAGTAATTTCTGGTTCTGGTCACTGGCCAACAATACATGTGTGATGGAGATTGGAACTGCGATGCAGCAGTGTCTGGGCTCAGGCAGGCAAGCGGGCTTCCTGAGGAGAGGCTGGTCTGCCTGGAGTTTGGAATAGATGAGTGTCCCTTGACTGGACCAGGATTTGGGCTTGAACAAGCATTACTGGGCTGGATCCTCTCTGTGCTCTGCTCTGGGAGGATGCTCAGCCTGACATATCTTGGGGTCAGTGAGTGGGACAATGTTTCTACCTCCAAATATGAGCAGCTGAGCACCTCTTCGCGTGGTGGAGGAGGAATTATTCTAAATAACTTGGATTTCAAAGGACATACAGTAACTTTCTAAAGTTCTCTCAAATCTACTTTGAGTCACAACATACCCACTGCCCTAGTCAAAAAGAGTATGACAGAGTGGTGGCTTTGGGGGAAGCTAGTGATATAAGACTCCTGGGCTTGAAGATGTATGAGAGCTACTAGTGTTCAGGCCTTACTGTTCAGATTTTAGCAGCAGCCAGGGAAGCCTCTTACAGGAAAACAGGTTTTGCAATAGTCTAATGCAATGAAGAAATTAAGGCACTGGTGTAACTGATAGGTACTGCAGGCAGGATGCACTACACGGGCACATCAGTCTTAAGGCGGTTTCCACTGGTCGAGCTAGTCCAGCTGCTCTCTGGTGTGGGACAACCACTGGGTAGACTGTTCTCTAACTCCAGTATTCCCTCGTGCTGAAGCAACGTTTTTTGCTATCCTGACATCTCACCAGTTTTCTTGTGGGGATGAACTGAAATTGGAACTGTCTGTGCTGGAATTGTGTTAGATGGGAGCCCAGAAGGACCTGCAGGAGCCTAGCAGGATGGGAATAGGGGAAGCTGTAAACCTGAAAAGTAGTTTTGCTTTAGTGTTGCTTTTCTTTTGTGTAATGAGAATGTTGGATGTCCTGGTGGGTTGACCCATGATCTGGCTGCACTGAAGAGCTTTCTCCTTGTTGCAGAGCTTCCCCAGGACTGTCTGGGTTTCCTTGAATTACTCAGAAGGTGTTACAGCTGCTGTGCAATTAGTCTTAAATAGCAAGGTTTAGCAAAGCAAAGTCTCGCTGCTGCTGTGTAGGAAGAAAGGTCTGGAGCCACATGTGGCTCTGTAGGTA